TCCCAACACTGGAACGCTGCTCTTGCATTCCTGCCCGGTGCAGACGAGCCCTATATGGGCCCGCCGGGAGACCCGCCGGTGAAGGAATGCAACACAACTTTGGTATAAGGTCATCCATACCTTAAACACCCCTGAGAAATGACCCTGAACTCAGACACGATACACCTGAGCATATAGACACATGTTATTATCTTTATAGTCATTTAGATTGGGCTCTTGGGAACCAGGTGTTTGCCAACAGGCGCACTTGAGAAAAATTGTTTCAAGTTGCATAATTTAAAAGATTATTATAGTTTACAGACCACATTGGACTGTGTAGAGTGATTGTGACTTATTAATATTGTGTTGTTTTGCATCCATCTTCCCTGAGAATGATCTTATCAGAAAACAAAAGTATGAGGAATGCTGAGAGATATGTAGCTACTTTTTTAAGACTAAATCCATGAGTGCATGCATAGGTGAGCTCTTGTGATTTGTACCAGACAGACAAAGCTCTTTTCCGTGGGTCCACACCTCCCTTCCATGTCACTGTGTGTTTTACAGTGTGTGAGTGAGACTGTTTTTCCACTCTGTGACTTTGATATGAGATTCCTGCCTGACTCAGACTGCCTCGGATTCCTAGAGGGTCTTTCAGGACATGCCAGATGGGTTGCCGTATCCCCCACTGTACTTCCATTAACAGGTTAAGCTTTGGTGCACAAATCCTATGTTGTTGTTGTTTTTTGACCTATTTAATAGTTTGATAAAATATCTTATATTCTCAGCTTCAGATATCACACCCATGGACTGTTGGCTGAAGGTCTGATGCATAAAGGCACACAAAATCCTCTGATCATCTGGCTGAATTCTACAGGATTTCCGGGAGACGTGTGTCGCGTTCTTTCAACGGTCCACCGAGAAACAAATCCGGTGTGATGCCAAACCCTTCTTATGGAAGAAGAAAGTCATCGTGTTTACAACTGTGACCATGAGCGTTTATCAGGATCAACTAAACGATGGATTTTAAAAAGAATGTGAAGTTCGCGGCATAGACTCTTTAAACGATGTCAGAAAGCTTCACTTGAGGCACTTATAGTGAACGACTGGTTTCACACGGGTCTGTTGTTGTTGGGACATTGATTTTACATTTTCATGCCCCTAATCATGACACTGAACAAACTTCTGCCATCGTTCTCAAAGTCTGGCTTCTCAACACTAATTATCTTATAGAAATTAGAATCAAAAAGTAGCTACTTAGTATGAAAATTGGCTACTTTTAAACACATCAAAAATGTCTGTACAGATTTTACGATGTGGCGATTTTGTATGAATTTCTGTGATGAGATTCGTATGGAAACGTATGGTTTAAAAAACAAAAACATAAACATAAAGGTCTACCCTGAAACTTAACCATCAGTGGGGTGTAAGCAGATACAAATACGTGCGGTGCAAATGAGACTGTATGAATTCTTAAAATTTGACACAAATTTGCCAGAATGTAAAAAGTGTGTGTGTTGTGGAAACGCTGTCCAACAAGATGTAGTCTGTTAAATTATGCCACCTCGGTTGTGCATTTGTTCCCCTAATAATTTAATGCCTCGTCGACAGTTATTCCTTACTTAATTGCCCAAACTATCCTTATAATTGTGACATCTAAGCAGTGAAATCAATTGGACTCTAAAGCAGGATAAGAAAAATCTAATCCAAATTTTCTACAAAATGTAGTGTTGACTGCATTCATCGAGTTAGTTTCCTTAGTTATTGTTAAATATATATTTACATCTAATTCTTTCCTCAATTTATAGGAAATGTATATTGATCATAACTACAAATGAACATCAAGTTGCAAACTAGTTAAAGCCCCTACTGAGTGAAAACATAATTCATGTGCATGATTGAAAAATAAAGCCCTCTTGGTGAAAAAAGTTTTTGGAGAAAGACCCCACCGGGTACCACTCATCTCCACTACAAATAGGAAAAAGAGGCTACAATTTGCAAGAGCTCACCAAAATTAGACGGTTGAAGACTGGAAAAATGTTGCCTGGTCTGATGAGTCTTGATTTCTGTTGAGACATTCAGACGGTAGAGTCAGAATTTGGCGTAAACAGAATGAGAACATGGATCCATCATGCCTTGTTACCACTGTGCAGGCTGGTGGTGGTGGTGTAATGGTGTGGGGGATGTTTTCTTGGCACACTTTAGGTCTCTTAGTGCCAATCAGGCATCGTTTAAATGCCACGGCCTACCTGAGCATTGTTTCTGGCATGTCCATCCCTTTATGGCCACCATGTGCCCATCCTCTGATGGCTACTTCCAGCAGGATAATGCACCATGTCACAAAGCTCGAACAGTTCTGAAGGCGGAAGGGGGTCAAACACAGTATTAGTATGGTGTTCCTAATAATCTTTAAGGTGAGTGATATTCTGACCCTATTTTTGAAAAGGAAAAAAAGGAATGTCTAATGTTTTTCAGGCTCAGTTTTGTAGTGTAAAGTGCCATACAAATCCTTCCTTATTTTCACTCCATCATCATCTTTTTTTCCAGCTTTATTCAAGGATGGAATCATACATATATCTGGGAGGACAAAGAGGAGTAAGGAAAGGATAATAAACTGAAGCAAAAAGGAATATATCATACTTTGGTTGTTTTGGCGAGACAAATAGCTATTATATTCCAAATCCATTCCCTCTTACGGATCTAATTCAGTCTTTCTCCTTTGGTGTCTAGGGACACAACAGACCTGAGCACTGCGTGTTCACTCTGGTCTGGATGAAGACGTCCAGTTTTAACAAGGTTGTAAGGTGGTTTGAGCCAACAGCATGGCAGCAGCACCAGTGGAAACTGATCTCACTGTAATCTTCCTCATGATGGATGGGTTAAAAAGAGTTATAAATTAAAACAGACTAGCTGAGAAGAGATTTCTGTGGAAGTTTCCCTGTAAAGCAGATTGTTTTATGGACCGGTGTCAGATTTTAAACCGCCCGACGATTGGCTGAAATCCTTCTCCATTGATCTTATTTTAATATTGATGGATGTCTGACTGGAAAACATTCCAAACTGCTCACAATCCAAACTCTAGGTATTTTTCTTTAAAAAAACTGCACTCAATAAGAATTGGCATTATTCTCAGACTAGAATTATAATTATTAAAAGATTTAGATACATTTTGTAAAACCACCATAGATTTATCAAATAGACCATTAAATTATAACTGCAAAGTAAGGCTTTGTGGTAAAGCTTGGTTTTCTGTTTATACCTATTAACTTTAATATTTAGGTAACATCCTCAGTTTTAGCAGTGTTAGCACTGAACAGCCACACAGAAAATTCAATACAACATTCAGTAATAATTACAATAAGGTAAGAAAATATATGAATAGTGGAGTTTAGTTAAAAAAAGTTAGAATAAAGAGACTTGAAGTAACTTCAACCCTCCTTTTATTACAAATATTCTTTCAAAATTACTACATCATAATATAATAATGGTAAGCACAAAGCAAGGAATGTTAAATCAAACAGTAAAACTGTCAACCCTGTTACCATCATAACGCCCCTTTTTTACAATAATCCTGTAAAAATGACATCTTTTCAATAAGTGGACATTTAAAGTCACGTAACATTGTTCTTACTTAGAATTTTTTTGCTAACTTTACTTAATGTTCAATAATTTGTTGAACTTACTTAAAATTTCTTAGTATGTTTGCATGTTATGCCTTCGTTACTCAGAAAAACCTAATGGTAAAATAAAGCCAAAAATAGAAAAAGCAATTAATTTATTCATGCCGCAATGCACTCTGGGAGTACACTTCCTCAGATCATAGACAGAATTAAGTTGACAAAACTTGAATTAATTAAGAACAACTTGATGCAATTAAGTTATGCTTACTTAAAGAAATTATGACAACTAGTTTGCATAATAAAATTAAGTAAACTGACCAAACTGGTTTTTACAGTGTAAATGTCTCCTGTTTTTAATAGGGCACGATCTTAGAATGTCAACCCTGTTACCATGCATGATTTTAAACAGTAAATGGTTGCTAAAAATTAGATATGGTGATAGGTGATAGGTGACCACAAAGCAAGTAATATTTAATCAAACTGTAGAACTCAACCCCGTTACCATCATAACTCCCTTTTATTACTATAATTCTGTCAAAATTTCAAAGGCATCTTCAAAAGCATGTAAATATCTCCTATTTTGTCATAGGGAATGACGCTGAGAATTTCAACCCTGTTACGATCATTTTAAATAGTAAATGATTGCTAACAAGTAGATTTCAGATTTCTATTTATCAGTATTAAAATCTCTTTCTGACAATAAGCCATATAGTATAGCCATGGTGAGGTGAACAAGCCTTGCTGAACTGTAGAACTGTCATCCCTGTTACCTTTTTAAAGTGCTATACTCATTTATCCTTAAATTCCATAATGGATTTTATCAACAATGAAAGATGTTCTTTGTCTGGTAGAAGATTTAACAGATTTAACAGATTTAGATTAAAAATCTCGTTTTTACAGCTAAATATTAAGGTTGTCCATTTAAGAAGTATGTGGATGCTTGACACACTTAAAAAATTGATCTGAAATGTATGAATTAATGTATTAAAAAGATTTCAAGCTATACATTTCACAAAAAAATAAAAAATAAAAAAAATAATAAGATTCTTAGATACTACAGAAAATGTCTCTGAAAAGTGATGTTTGATCTGAGAAAAGCTCAAGCAGAATTTGTTTCCAAACACAGCTTGGTTTGAAATTTCATTACCTAATTCAATAAATGTTTAAGTGCGACTTAAGTGTCCAAATATATTATGGTGCCGCTTTACTCATATAACACAAGACTGCTGAGATATCACTGCAAGTCATGCGCATTCACTTCTCCAGCACTGCAGGACTTCATGCCTTCATAGTTATATAAGGAATGTAAAAAAAAAAAAATCATATTTTAATAAAATCCCCAAATTTATGTATCCAAAGACAGCCATTATTCTTGGAATTTCCATTCAAATAACTTCTGTCATCTATTTAGTTTTTTTGTAATTATGGGCCTTTCTTCCATCCTTCATGCAGTTAACCCTTAATTTTCCATGTTCATCATTTTGTACAAAATCGGTCCAACCTCCATGATGTCTACGCTAGTCAGACGTCCAACAGCTTTAAACAATTTACCCCCATTTTCCATACTCTCAGCCGCTCAGACTTAAAGAAATACCAGTGGCTTTCCAAACATTACATCTAGTTGCCTCTAATCATAGCCACGAGTCCAGGTGAGAGAGTGAAGGGTTATTCCACCTCCCTCCCCTCCAGGCCGCACCCCATCATCCCCTCCACCCCGCTTAGATGCCTATAAAAGAAACGGCGACTCTGGCGCATCTCAGCATCACCTGCGCTCTCATCCTGAAGAAGGAAAACCAGGCGAATAGACAAGAAGAACGATGCGTTCACTACTGAAGATCACCGTTCTGCTGTTTTGCGTTCAAGCGGGAGAAGGACACTGGCTTCGAACGCTACTGGGTAAGCCTGAAGGTCATGACCTTTGAGGAAAGGGTAGATTTATTACAGGCTCACTATTGCCGTTCCAAACCTGTATGACTTTTTTTCTTCTGTGGAACACATAGAAGTTATTACGAAAAATGTACTTTTTTTTGTCCATTGTGTAGTACTATTGTTTGGACCCCATTGACTTTTAATGGATGGGCTGCTACTTTTCAACTTCTATCATTAGTATTTATGTTTCGCTCTTTCTTTTTCAGACACAGACCTCCGTGACGAAGAGAGAAGAGGTGACGGTGAGGAAAAGGAGGATTCAGGGAGGGCGATTCGGTCGCCCCGCAGCGCTGAGTCCCCGTGTGCACTGCACTCCATCCTGCTGCAGGTGCGGGACCTCGGGCTGGGATACGACTCGGATGAGACGGTGCTGTTTAAATACTGCAGCGGGACCTGCCCTCGCCTCGCCTCCAACCACGACCTCACGCTCACCAACCTCCTGCAGAGCGGCACCCTCCAATACACCGGCCACTGGCACCATCAGCCCTGCTGCCGCCCCACACACCACGAGGACATAGCCTTCCTCGACAACCTGCATCGCTGGCACAAAGTGGAGAAACTCTCCGCCGCTGAATGCGTGTGTATGGGGTAGAGACTGCCCAAATCTGGCTTCTGTCTGCTTATCCTATTGGCTTAGAGACTGTACAAATTTAAATAAAAGGCTGTTTAGGGGACGTTAATTCAGGAAGAAATAATATGTATGTATTGAAATGTATTAAGTTGTCTAGGTTGCTTTCTCTGATGACATGGCTTATTCGGCTATAATTGCGTCTAAACGTTTAGTTTTGGTTAATGGCGACACAATGGCGTGTTTGAGTGGCCAATTCTGATTCCATCAGAACCAAAAACGCAAGATATTTATGTGCTCGTAAATTATTTATTTATTTGAAACCCATGTTTACTGCCAAATAAATTATTGATCATCTATATTTTATTGTGCTGCTTGTAAATATGTACAGTTCTGATCAAATATACAAACAAAAGTTGTTGTGTTCATTTCGTTTCTAACTACACTTTGCTTACAATTAAGAACTAACGACAAAAGTATGATAACATAAAAACATCCTAAATTATATAAAAATACATTTACAACGCATTTCTTTTTTTTACCTTTTTTAATTGATTTTATATTAAAATACAAAAGATATGTATGACACAATCAAACTGATACAAAATAGTGATTCGCACTTCTTGAATGAGTCCTGCTCATGTGTTTGGTGTTCAATACACACTACTCAGCTGTGTCCTCTGGCTCCGCCCCCCATACCTGAACACACCCCTCCATCGAAGTCAAAAGGCGGGGCTCCGTTGGGTGGAAGGACAGCGATTGGACGACAGCTTTCCCAACAGGCAGCTTTAAAGTCAGCGAGCCCTACAAGGATAGATCACAGCTTTACATATTCAACTTGATATTATGGCATTGGCTCTGTGGGTCATGTGACTTATTCTGCTCACCTCCACCAGATCCCAGAAGTAAACATGGCCATCTTCTGAACAGCTCAGAACATGTGTGTCTTTATCAGACAGACAGCAGTCAAGCTTATAGCCTTTATTGACATGACCGGAGTACCTGTGAAGAGACACCATAGAAACATGTAATGTTCAAGTGATAATAGTATAAATAGTATAGAAATAATTATTTGACATATTGTTTGTATTTATTTACCAAATATTTATATTTATATTATTTATATTTATATTATATTTATATAATATATTTATATATTTATATTTTCAAAATAAATATTTAACAAATATTTATTGATAATTATTTGTTATATAAATAATTATTAAATAATGATTTATATAACAGCACCGTATTAATAATTATTTAAAAATAAAAAGTTTGTGTTTACATAATATATGTGGGTGCACTGTGTAGTGCACCCACATATATTATGTAAACACAAACTTTTATGCGATTAATCGCGATTAATCGTTTGACAGCCCAAGAAATAATACATTAATGTAGCAAATTATTTACCGTTCCATTTAACTTACATTTTTAACATGATTTGGCAGTTTAAAATGTGAATTACTTTATTTCACTCATATTTAACTATGCTTTTAAACATAAATTTAATTCAACGGTTTTCAATAATGCACATTTATTTGTTAATGTGATAAGTGATTTATTTATTATTTTTACCATGTTTAACTACGTTTTTAAACATGAAGTAAACTATTTTAAATATGCATATTTATTCTTCTCTACACTTAAAAAAATATATTTTAAAATATCAGTTTGCCACGTCATTTAATTTATTTACTGTTACATTTATGTACACCTTTAGACACTTTAAAATGTTCAAACTTTGTCAATTTGAAAAGTTCTGTTTAATACCCATTTTTATTTTTTAATTAACAAATTGAAAATAAAGTTCTCCATATACTTTACTCATAAAAGCCAAAAGAATCACATTGTCAAAAAAAAAAAAAAAAATGTTGTACATACTCTCCCAGCATCTCCCCTGAGCTTTTGTCCAACAGGCGCACCGTAGAGTCCAAGCTGGAGCTAAGTGTGCACTGACCGTCCCGACTGAAACACACACAAGTGATGGGATCTGTGGAGCAAAAATACACACAACAAAAGCATATTAGACATCACACAGTACAAAACATGTATTTTTTATTCCCTCATGTGCGATTTAACTCACTTCCAATGAAATCGACGTGAAGCTGCCCCATTCTCAGGTCATAACGCCTCACTCTTCCATCCACAGACCTGATAAACAACAAACTTCAGTTCCACACTCTTATTCTCACATCATATCCTACAATAAGATGAGCTTAGTTTGGTTCTGACCCCGTCAAAAGCTCATGCTCTGACACTTTTAGGCTGCTGATGCCATCCCGAGCCTCGTCCAGGATCTGGATGGGCTCCATCCGTCTGGATCTAGTGTCCCAACATCGCACTGTCCCATCAATGGAGCCTGAAGCATTAAGAAGCAACTGAGTCACAGTGAGATTGGACTGTGGTTATTCCCATAATCAATTATGATTAAATCGAAGTCATAAAGACTAACCCACCTGACAGCATCACAGTAGCCTCCTCATTAAACTGCACACAGTTCACTTTCTAGGGAACAAGCATAACATCTACCATAAATCATCTATAACTAATAATTAATTAATTAAGCAATTATCTTAGCAAAGACACATAATTAAGTCAGTATCATGGTGGGAAATGTGGTTACCCCTGCGTGCCCGCGAAGTTTGCGCGTCACCTGTCCAGACCCCACATCCCACAGAATGACGGTTTTATCCGAGCTGCAGGAGCACAGCTGACTGTTATCGTAAGAACTGCGAAAAGAAAGCGAAATTAACACAAACCAAACACAGTAGTGATGATATTTTAATGTAACGTATATATAAACACACCAGTCCACGTCCAGCACTTCATATCCGTGACCGGTGTAAGTCTTCAGCAGAGTCCCTCGACTCACACTCCAAAGCTTTAGAGATTTATCACTGCCACAGGTCAGCAGATAATTCCCATCCGCTGGAAGAACATGTAATATATTATATAAACGACAGGGGGTTACAGGTCTGAGATTAGCTGTGTTTTCACTGGTGTTCCCCAGGGCTCAGTCTTGGGCCCTTTACTCTTTCATATTTATCTGTCACCACTTGGTCCTTTGTTGTGATCGCTTGGCCTCAATTATCACTTTCATGCTGATGATACGCAAAATCTGGTGAACAACCTGATGCTGGTTTCCTCTTAGGCTGTATTACTGAGGATGAGTAATAATTTCTTTTGTCTGAAACAGTATAACAGATGTTATACTCATTGGTTCCCGTTATCAAATTTCCAAAGCTGGTTCACTGTTTTTGACTATTGATGGCTCAAAGTAAAGCGAGGAACCTTTCATTGCTAGTCTTTCACTGGATTCTTTTCTTTTTTTTTTTCAGAGTATTGTTAAAACATCCTTTTTTTCAAGATTACGTCCTATTCTCTGTAGCTTAAAAACGGATTTAGAACGATAAAGAAAGCTGATAAAGATGAATGTTGGAAATCAAACCGTGAGAGCACCCATTGACATTCATATTAGGAAAAAAGTAATATGGAAGTCAATGGCTGTCGCCGAGTAACGTAGGCTAAGCAATGACGGAAAAAAAAATCATTGTTAGGTGAAACATCCCTTTAAAAGGAGTAGATCACTTATAAAAAACTTTTGCTGATAATTTACTCACCCCCATGTCATCCAAGATGTCAAACCTCTTTCCTTCTTCAGTCGAAAAGAAATTAAGGTTTTTGATGAAAACATTCCAGGATTTTCTCCATATAATGGACTTCATTGGGAACCAAACGGTTCAAGGTCCAAATAAACTTTCAGTGCAGCTTCAAAGGGCTTTAAACGACACCAGACGACGAATAAGGGTCTTTATCTACAACCCTTCGTGTCCTGACTCTAAAACAGATTTAATTTTGATAAACGAGTTTGAACAGGAGAGCCACGAACACGAATCACAGAACAGAGCAAGGCGAGCATTTGTGCTTATAAAATTTGTTTATTTGTTATTTAAACGACCGATCGTTGTGACTACATAAGACCCTTATTCGTCGTCTGGTATCGTTTAAAGCCCTTTGAAGCTGCACTGAAACTCTCATTTGGACCTTGAACCGTTTGGTTCCCATTGAAATCCATTAAATGGAGAAAAATCATGCATGTTTTCATCAAAAACCTTAATTTCTTTCGAGTGAAGAAAGAAAGACACGAACATCTTGGATGACATGAGGGTGAGTAAATTATCAGCAAAAGTTTTTTAAAAAGTGAACTTCCTTTAAGCATGTTTGAAACAACAGCGTCACGCACTTACCTGTTACTTTTCTCAACGGTAATTATGAATGGCCAATCAGAATCGTTAGTACTAGAGGTAACTCTGTGAGGTACAAATCTTTAAAATGGATATTTTAAAGACTAACTTAGTGTATAGATCTCCAAAAAAGTAATCAAATGAAATTGAAAAATGCAACCCGTCATGTACAACCTTCTTGAGATAGACAGATGTTTGTTTTAAGGTTAAAAAAGCAGATAGTTCCCTCACTCTTACCGTTGAAGCGCACGGCTCTCACGGCGCCCTGCTGACAGTCGACAGTCCGCAGAAGAAGCTGTGGCAGCTGAGGAGCTTGAGGACGGGGCTGGGGGAAAGCCATGACTCTAGCCTTAGATATTGAGTAAAAATTACATATTCAAGCGGTAACACTCCATTAAAACCAGAACTACTCCACAAACTGCATAAAACAAAACACCCCGTTTTCTTCAGCGGAATGCATGTTGATGAATAGTGCTCATTACCGCCATCTAATGTGTCGGAAGACGCACGTTCTTGACATTTTTGTTCGCATTGTGTTAGTTTATAATGGAGGTTTAAAATGTTTTTTTTTTTTTAATTTCTTCATAACTATTTCATAAATCAGCATGTGATGGAGAACGCATCAAAATGTACTCAATATTAATGAAACACAATAGTAGATGCCAGATATGTTGCACCTCCCTTATCGTTTTATAACCAGAACAAAATGTTCTTTTCATATTCATGACACACATGGCAGTGCGTAGTAATAATAACAAACAAAGGACAAAAAAATAGTGCAACAATATTTTACTCAACCATAAAATCAAGAGCAAAATGGACCATAAAATCAAATACTGCGCAATGTGAACAAACGGTTGGCTAAAAATAAGTGGACTGTTGAAAATCTATCCCAACCACATCATAAACGTGACTGATTTCCAGTACACATCTGTATGAATCAAAATAGCTATTTACAATGACTAAGTAATCGAAGGATTTATGGTACACAGTCGCAGCTTACGTAACTTGTGATGTTTTACTAACAGAAAAATACATTGAATTGTTTAGCATCTGACCAGAAAGAAAAATAAAAACAAACTTAATTCTCCCAAACTGGGAATTTTTCAAAATGAGGTGTTAGATTTTTACAAACACACCGCAAAGCAAAGCGCAAGTCAAAAACAGTTGACTGTTTAGGAACAGCACGTTATTTCTTCTTGCCCTTGGCTTTGCTGGCTTTGGCCAAGAGCGCAGGGTCAATCTGATCCGCAGCCAGTCCTCTGACGGAGAACAGACGGGCAGCCCGTTCCTGCAGCGTTCCTCCACACTTCATCCCTCGTTCCATCAGCTCTTTCTTCAGCCGCTCCAGACCCAAGGCCTCCAGCTGCTCCGGCCCACTCGCAGAGAGCAGATCCAGTGGACCCTCCGCCTGAAGAAAAAGGCCATGATTATCAAACAAAAAAAAAAACATTTCCAACAAACAACCACATCAGAAGTAGGAGATCTTACCACTTCCAGTGCCTGACTGCTCTCGGCTGGGCCGCTCTGTGCTTCTGTGGGCGCAACCGGCAACTTCTGTTCGGTGCTGCAGTTTTTAATGATGTCATCCTGCACCTTCTCTTCTGTGCTGCGATTTTGACTGAGATCAACCTGAACTTTCTCTTCTTCTGTGCCAATGTTTTGGCTGATATCAACCTCCATCTTCTCTCCAGTGCTGCCATTTTGGCTGATATCGACCTGCAACTTCTCTTCTGTGCTGCTGTTTTGGCTGATATCATCAGCTGTACGTTCCTTCTCGGCCTCCTCCTGCACCTCTTCCTGGTTGTGTGTTGGGGAGCTCGTTGGACTCGAGGAGGAGCTGCTGGTGCTGCTGGGCTGGCCCTGAGGTTCTGTCCTGTCGCTCCCCCTGGTGGTTGAAGCTGGCACAGCTGGTTTGGAAATATCTGAGCTACAAGAAGCCCCAGAGGTGGATGGAGAGCCCTCGCTGTCACTGTCATCACTTCCTTCACCAGAGCTGCCCATGTCTTCCAGTTCTCCAATGCCAGACCTAATGGTTTAAAGAAAGGATATTGCAGATTTTAAATTGTAGGATTTGAATTTCGTCTTTGTAGTCCATCTACATTTCTTTTATTATTGCTCAGAACATATGTAAAATCATCTCACCAGAAACACGTCTTCTTTGCTTTCTTTTGGCCGTCGGTTGGTGACGGACGCTTGCGGCTCAGTTTCTCGTCCGCCTGAACGAGACCACTAGAGGAAGCCTGCATGCCTGAATAGTAAAGAATTTTATTTTCAAATTTTACCTTTAATGTCAAGAATAATTAGGGATAGGAGATACATATTGAACATTTATATTATTCAATATATATATATATATATATATATATATAAATTTACAGACTTTTAGCTGTTTGCAATAAACATTTCAAACTAAAGTAATTGATATAGCTCAACACAACCAATGTTTCAAGTCGTTTCCCCAAATTAAGGACACTTTAAACATTTTTTTTTTAATTATTTATAATTTTTCTAGATAAATAAAAGTGTTCATTTTGAAATCTCAATTAACTAGTATAAATGAGATAATATTTAAAAACAGATATTTTACTTTGTAACGGTCTCTGATTTAAATATCTTTTATTCAAATTGTGATTAATTCAATGAATTAGTAGTTTTGAGTATCTCTTAAAATAAATGAATCAAAAGATGTGTTTCACTAGGATGAAACTGCACACACACACACACACACATACATATATATATATATATATATATATATATATATATCATAATTCTTCTATGTAAATAATAATGTATTCTAGACTAGCACATGGAATTTGTACACCAAAAATCACTAAGTTACCTTTCAATACAGAGTCCTCCAGTCTCTCTGAGAGGTCGTGGCACTGCTGTTCATACTTCGGGTCAGTGAAATAATGTTTTGGCTCGGCCAACTTCCTCTGAATCCGCTCTAGACGACGCTGCTCCTTTTCCGCCTCTCGGTCGGATTGCTTTTTCAACCACTCTGCCATTCTACACAGAAACACAAATAAATATTCACTTACTCATATAAGCTAGATGTGATGCAGCTTATGAAAAGTTGAAAACACCAAATCCATAAAGCATGAAATGAGTATATAATCAAAGAATCGTGCTAAAAATCCATATTGCAATAATTAGCATTACTCTTTCTCATGATTGACGTCTCGAAGTCTTCTTCCACTAAGATCTCTGCAGGCCTCGCGGTTTGTGGTCTTTTCGATTTGTGCACCGAGGGCCCTCAACATAGAGCCAAATCCTACAAAACAAATATGAGTTTAAAACATATTTATAACTTTTAAAAGTTCAAAGCATTATAATTTTTTTTTTTACTTCAGAATAAACACTAACGTAATTATAATGTAGAACCAAGTTCACAAAAACTAAAATAAAAAAATATACAATTAATAATACCACCATTTGGGATTAGTTGCAAATTAATATCAAAGACCCTAATCATTACTACAATACAAACCTATAAAACAATTAGTCATATCAAAACGCAATCATTTTGATGAAATATTTACAGACTTCAGACAGATCAATACTGGTCTGGTTAACGTTACCTCCTTTGCCTCCTCGTAACCGAGGCTCCAGACGGTAAACAACTCCGGACTGAAGAGGGTCATCACTGTCAGAGACACGGCCATTACTCTTCACATAGAAATCCGTACAACAGACGCCCTGAGGAAACATAAATACATACTTTAGGAAACTTTAATCATCATCATCATCAAAATCACATTGAACCAGCAGCAGTGAGAGACTGTACAGCACACGTTAGAGTTCATTTCACATTAACGTTCGACTAATGATAGACTCACCTCTTTAACGGCAAAATGACTGATAAGATCGCTGACAGTGGAATCCGGGCCGACAGTCAGGTTAGTAAACCTCAAATTCGGTGAAATCACGAAGAGCTCCATGTTTTCTTCTCCTCTGTCTGTGTTTTCGAAGATGTGCTTATAAACTTCCGGTAAAAGCTATGACGTACGACTGCGTTGACTCAACTACGGAAGCCGAGAGAACTTTCCAAATAGTAGTATATTCAAAAGTCTTTTTTTTTAACAAAATACACTGAGCAATATATCGAAGCTTATTCGTCTTCGGAGATCTACAACATTCTGAAGACAGTCATATTTGATGTTTCATATAATATTGATATGAAATAATTTATATTTATGGTGTAATGTTTTATTTAGTATTGTATTATAGGTGCTTTTCATTTCTAGTTATTTGTACTATAGTCCGTACATGTCTGTACATAATCTATTTGTGATGCGATAACTCAAAAATGCACTAAGAATAACAGAACCAAAATACATTTTAGATTGTTTATGTTTAAATGATGATTGAAATAAATTACATAATCTATCAAAGCCTCTGGCTGAGTATATATATATATATATATATATATATATATATATATATATATATATATATATATATATATATATATATATATATATAATGTATATCAAAAATCCCACTTTCTCGTGTATGCTCTTATTTTGAAATTGACTCTGCGTGCTGACCGTGCTCTCCTCCTTGAGACGTTTCAACATGGCGTCGCTCTGCAAGGTGATGTACAACGTGAGTTCCAGATCATCTTTCCTGCCAAAACACAATGTTTTAGCCACGCTTCGATCATTATACAGCTCAGACGCGAGCGGAGGAGAGGATGAATCGCCCGAGAAGGTGAAGAGCGGGTTTGCAGCCGCATATGATCTGCACTCGGACCTGCGGCAGAGCGGCGACCGGAGCGCATCGGCGCTGAGGAGTTCCAGGGACGAGACCTCCTTCATATCGCTCCTGCGACACTCCCCGCTCATGCAGATGGGTCCCGCCAAAGACAAAATCGTCATCGGGAAAATCTTTCACGTCGTCAATGACGATCTTTATATCGATTTCGGCGGGAAGTTTCACTGTGTGTGCCGCAGGCCCCCGGCGCCGGACGGGCAGAAGTACCAGAGGGGCAGCAGGGTGAGACTGAGGCTGGAGGATCTGGAGTTGACATCGCGGTTCCTGGGAGCGACCATCGACACGACGCTGTTGGAGGCGGACGCCACACTGCTGGGACTGATGGAGAGCAAAGAGACCAGGACCAAGGAATAGTTGCCATGGACAAAACTGAGATGAACTTTGTGTGTGAATGAATGGACACTGTAATGTTTGAAATATATACAATTTTAAATCGCACTGACTTTTATTCTTGTTTCTTAATGTCTGATGCTTGTGTATAGACCATTTCACAAGATGTAAACAACACTGGTCCAGAAGCACTTCCTGTTTCAGTTTTTTAACACTACATAAAAGCTGGGATAAAATACAACCAACAGAACATTTAAAACTGAATCAAAAAGTTAAACAAACATCTTTAAGATGTTTTCTTTACATGTGAAATAAAGAAAACAGTTACAAACTGAAACAGGAAGTGCTTCTGGACCAGTGTTGTTTACATCTTGTGAAATGGTCTATACACACACACACTCACAAACAGTCCTTTCAAAATCACATAAATATATATAAAAGTATTTAGTCAAGATATAAACACTAATGTGAATCGTACCGATAGAGCAAATCACCATTTAATTCTAAGGTTGCTTCAAATAACTATTGTATTAATTATATATAGTTACACTAGTAGGTGGTGACAAGTGACCGTTAAAAAATGTATGTCATTGATTAATCCACTGAAGAGATGTTCAATAACACTGATTCATTCAATAATGAAATAAGTGAAGTATTTACAAGGGAGTCATTGAATCAATCAAATTAAACAATATATTTTTTTAAATAGACAGCAGCTATTACAATTTTGTCAGAACCGCTAGTAAATTATGTAATTTTGTTCAGTTGTTTGTTCAGAATTGTAATCTCTTTATGAACCCTCCAAAAAATAGTGGTTCTCAATTTATCCAGAATCATTTATATATACAGTGAATATAGCCATTAAAAACATAAAATGCCAATAAGTTAAATTTAATCTTTATTTTCACTTCATATTAAGCAGCATAAAAGAAGAATAATTCCCTGAACATCCTATAAGAACATAAGTTATTTTTATATAAATAATAATTGCACAGCAAATCACAGTGATCATAAATTCTATGAAAATCATACACGAACAAGATCAATTTCTGAATCTCGAGCAAGACATTTCTTTAAATATCAAGGCCGTAATGGTGCAAACTTCAGGATGCTAAGTTAAGCTACGTTTGCGAGGTACAATAAAATATCCTACAGCATAAGGTTAGTGGCATGCAGTGAAGAATATATATATATATAAACACACTTACCTAAAGGATTATTAGGAACACCATACTAATACTGTGTTTGACCCCCTTTCGCCTTCAGAACTGCCTCAATTCTATGTGGTATTGATTCAACAAGGTGCTGAAAGCATTCTTTAGAAATGTGGCCCATATTGATAGGATAGCATCTTGCAGTTGATGGAGATTTGTGGGATTCACATCCAGGATACAAAGCTCCCGTTCCACCACATCCCAAAGATGCTCTATTGGGTTGAGTTCTGGTGACTGTGGGGCCATTTTAGTACAGTGAACTCATTGTCATGTTCAAGAAACCAATTTGAAATGGTTTGAGCTTTGTACATGGTGCATTATCCTGCTGGAAGTAGCCATCAGAGGATGGGTACATGGTGGCCATAAAGGGATGGACATGGTCAGAAACAATGCTCAGGTAGGCCGTGGCATTTAAACGATGCCTAATTGGCACTAAGAGACCTAAAGTGTGCCAAGAAAACATCCCCCACACCATTACACCACCACCAGCCTGGGCATGATGGATCATGTTCTCATTCTGTTTACGCCAAATTCTGACTCTACCATCTGAATGTCTCAACAGAAATTGAGACTTATCAGACGAGGCAACATTTTTCCAGTCTTCAACTGTCCTCTTGCAAATTGTAGCCTCTTTTTCCTATTTGTAGTGGAGATGAGTCTTCTGCTGTTGTAGCCCATCCGCCTCAAGGTTGTGCGTGTTGTGTCTTCACAAATGCTTTGCTGCATACCTCGGTTGTAACGAGTGGTTATTTCAGTCAAAGTTGCTCTTCTATCAGCTTGAATCAGTCGGCCCATTCTCCTCTGACCTCTAGCATCAACAAGGCATTTTCGCCCACAGGACTGCCGCATACTGGATGTTTTTCTCTTTTCACACCATTCTTTGTAAACCCTAGAAATGGTTGTTTGTGAAAATCCCAGCAACTGAGCAGATTGTGAAATACTCAGAGCGGCCCGTCTGGCACCAACAACTATGCCAGGCTCAAAATTGCTTAAATCACCTTTCTTTCCCATTCTGACATTCAGTTTGGAGTTCAGGAGATTGTCTTGACCAGGACCACACCCTTCAATGCATTGAAGCAACTGCGATGTTATTGGTTGATTAGATATTTGCATTAATGAGGAATTGAACAGGTGTTCCTAATAATCCTTTAGGTGAGTGTATATATGTTAACATACTTATATATTAATTTACATTTAGTGGCACATCTTGCATAATGAGGTGTCCTGTTTTATTCAAAAAGCATATAGTGCCCTAAGCTGATGTGATGGTTATGTTGCATGTGTTTTAAGGCAGTATTGTATTGCTCAGGCATCTTTGGGTGTGTAATGGCTAAAAGCTGCGGTTGAGGGCGTGTGATTTCGGTTCTTCTAGTCCAGCACGATATTATCTTCTTCACACATCAACCACACATGGTCATGTACAGCCACTGTTAGGGACAGCAAGATGGTTAACGACTTCATTTCCTTTATATACAATATTAAGACTTAGGCTATGTTTACACGGAAACGATTCTGAAGAGAAAACGCAAAAGTGGCGTTGCGTCATCTTTTTTTATTCTGCGTTTAGACGAGCGTTTTGTGTGGGAAATCCGCGTGCAAACGGAAACGCAAAAGTGTGTGAAATTCAATGTAGTAGCCTATGCACTTCAGGCGGCTAGGAGTGCATACTACAACAACACCAAGTCCACGCGCCTGCGTACAACTTTCACCGTCAAGCAGACTTTTGCGTTTTTACCGTTTACACGGGAACGCGGCGATGGAGCGTTTTTAAGATTTCCACTCTGGAGGGTGGTTTCACTTTTTTGCGTTTTTGAGGCTTAAAAACGCCGTTGCCGTGTAAACGAAAGGCACATCCGATAAAATATTTTTACGTTTTCACCCGCGAGCGTTCTCGTGTAAACAGGGCCTTAATACACCATCAATTATATGTCCTGCCATGTTGAAGAACATGAGACACTTTACCCACCTCGCTTATATTGAGTTCTGCGATGCCTTTACCCTCTCTATCCAGCTCTCTGAAAGACTCTGTTGAATACGACAGTCAATGAGACATTTTAGTGGAATATTAGCGAATACATGATAAAAATAAATAGATATGTAAATGACATACTGAACATGGTGTCCAGTTTAACCAGGCAACAGACAAAGTTGTCGAAGTCAATTGTATCTCCTTCGGAATATCGTGCCACCAGTATCTGATGAAGCTTGTTATTCAGTTTAAAACCTTAGGACAAGAAAATAGGCACTGGTAAAACAAACACGCATTTAATTTGAACGATCCTAATATATGCTCTTCAAAAATCACAATAAAGATTGATTTACAGTGGCTGGATAAAAACATATTTGTAATCTTATGAGCTAGTTTACTCAATTTACAGCAAAACCGTTTCATGAACAAATTACTGACTCGGTTCTTTTTAGTGAATAAAAGTGCAACCTGATGCCTGCAAGAACGACTCTTGAATTGATTAACTTTAAAGCATACAGCCACAAGATGAACATTAAAAACGGTTTATTACCAGCTGACTCCACAGCCAGGCGCATTTCATAGGAGCTCATTGTGCCAGATTTATCCAGATCAAACTGTCTGAAAATGCCCTGCAAATGAGATAAATAAGTATGAGTTACCACCAGACTATGTCATGTAGGGAAGGATGTGTGATTGATGAACCACTCAGTTT